GGGTTCCGACTTGGTAGGTCTGCAGGACCCTGGGGCGGGGGGCAGGATACACACCCTGTCTCCTGTCTTTTCCCTGCACAGCAACAAGATGACCTTGGGGCAGCTTTCCAGATGTGGATGGACACTAATGGAGCACTCAAACCACAGGTACCTCCAGGGGCTCTGCACACATGGAAGCCTTCCCTGGCAGAAACACAAATAATGGCTCACATGTGGTCAGTGCCCTCCACGTGTTCTTTACCAAGTGTTTAAGAGCCCTGGTCTTGAGATGGCATCTCACAACCACAGATGGGGGTTAAGGCTCAGAATGGGCAGCAACAAATCCAAGGTCACAAAGCCAGTCAAGCCAGGGCAGGATCAGAGCAAGGCCAGAAGCAGGCCTGGGCCCTGGAGCTGTCTCCATAGACCTCTTGGGGTCTTGGAGCTCTAGCCGGCCTGAGTTGGGGAGAGATGCTCGCCTGGGCCTGGGGCCCACAGCAGCTTCCCAGGGCTCACCCACTGTTCCTCCAGGAGCAAGACACTCATGGTCAGCCCAGAGGGCTTGGCTAAGACCCTGGCCTGTGGTCAGCTCAGCTCCAAGACCCCAGGCTGAGAAGGGCCTCAGGTGTCCTCTAGTCCACCCTGTCAGGAGTCCCCTTTGCAGCCTTGCGTCTTTGCCAAGGTGGTGAACTCACTGCCCCCAGCTCAGACCTCCTGTGAGTGTTTCTGTTGTCCCCAGTGCTGGATGCTGAGGCAGGTTGGTGCCCAGTCACAGCCTTGACTTTCTGAGGGCCCACAATCTAGGGGGGTAAGACAGCATGGGCAAACCGCTTACCATCCATCCAGGGAGGTCAGTGCACAGACAGACGCCCAAGAGGCAGCGGGGATTGAAAAGGGAAGTGTGTCCTTCCCGTCCAGGGTCAGTTATGCCGCATCCAAGGAGAGCTCCTGACCTGTGGCAGTCTTCAACATTATTCATTAAAATAGCTCTGTTTATGGAGCGCTTCCCACCCACTCTGCTCTGGCAATTGCACAGAGAAGAGTTTACTTCTCGTGCACATAAAGGCTAATTGGCTTGTTAATGAGAGACCCAGGCTGCCTGCCAGGGGCTCTACCCTGTTGCTCTCCCACACATGACTCCCAAGGTCACCCCATGCCAGGGGCAGGCACCACCAGGGGGAAGAGGGCGTGGAGAATCATGCAGGAGGGTCTTTGGACCAGGCATTTGTGGGGTGCACATTGATTGGCTCTCGTTCCATTGGCTGGAGTGCAAAGGAGGCTGGGAGGTGTGGTCTGTGTGTCCAGGCGGGAGAAGAAATGGATTGAGGGAGTGGCTGCCAGCCCCTGACACACACACATGCACACGCACACGTAACTGCACTAGCTCTGCTGCTCCAGCGATAGGGGGTGTATTGAGCTCTGATTGTGGCTCTGGAAGCTGAGGTTCAGCGTCACTCAGGAGGAGTCACACCTGGTCAGGGTAACTCTGATGCCCCCCTGCTCTCCAGGACTCTACAACCCCCTCCTCCCCCTAGTGAAGATCTGCTCCTCTGAGCTGAAACCCTGCTCTTGGGACTGTACCTGCTGGTCCCAGTTCCATCTCCTGGTGCCTCTCAGGAGCCCCTGCTCCCACCCCAGGGGAGTCCAGCAGTGACTGGGTGCCTCCCCAGGTCGCCTCCTCTCTGCTCCTCCTCCTCCGTTGACTCCAGACATGGATTTGGGACCACTCCTGGTGTCCCATGCACCCTGCCTGAGTCAGTCTTAGGGCTCTGCCCTCCTCTCAAGCCCCCAGGCCACTGTGGCAGCCCCACCCCCTGCATCTTGTCCCTTGGCCCCATTTCTTTATCTGTGAAATGGAGAGAAACTCAACACCTGCCCCAGCCATGACTCTGGGAACTCAACGATATCTCCCAAGTGGGGAGACATTGGGGCTGTGGAGACTTGGACCTCGGGCTGGGCCAGGACCTTAGGGGGCCAGTGGCCATCCCCTCTCCTCATGACAGGGTTACAGCTATCCGGACCGGCTGGTGCTGGACCAGGGAGGGGAGATCTTTAAAACCTTACACTACCTCAGCAACCTCATCCAGAGCATTAAGACACCCCTGGGCACCAAAGAGAACCCTGCCCGGGTCTGCCGGGACCTCATGGACTGTGAGCAGAAGATGATGGACGGTAAGAGGGGCTCAGGGGGCTTCCTGCCCGGGGTCCAGGTGGGGCAGGGCTGGGGGAGTTCCATGACCAGCTGAGGCAGGTGGAGTATTTGATTCTCAGCTCCGCTTGGCCACATTGCTGTCCTCAGGGAGACAGACACATGAGCAGTCATTATTCATTCAACAAACAGTCACTGAGCCTCACACTACACCAGGCCTTGTGTTTCCTGGGGTGTGGGATATAGTGGGGAACACAGAGGAGTGGTCCCGCCTTTCCAGAGCCCACAGATCCACAAGCTGAGGACGACCATTTCAGTGCACCGAGACAAGAGCTTTGGCTGAAAAAGGTCCCCAAGGGCTATGAGAGTCCCAGCCGCAGGGGTGCCCATCATGGGTTCTGGGTGAGCCAGCATTTTCCTGTGGAAGGACAAGCTTTGGAGGTGGACAGACCTGAGTCCCAATGTCACCCCTGCCTCTAACCAGCTCTGTGAGCTGAGGCCAGCTATGGTTCCATCCTCGTCTTTCAAGAAGCTGGTACTAGATGGCCGGTGGTCCCCCTCTTTCAGCTGCAGAGGCTTTGGCTCCCTGGGAAGCCCAAAGGGGAAGCCAGGTGCAAGTGGAAGTGCCTGGCTGGGGGATGGGAGCCCTGACTCCCACCCTCCCCTGGAAGGCCCTAGGACTTGGAGAAACCATTCAACTAAATGATCCCTAGATCTCTTGGGCAAGTGGCTCAGCCTCTGTCAACCTCAGTTGTCTCCTCTGTAAAATGGGCCTGTCCCATTAGCTGCATAGGGAAGTGCTGAGCCGTGTGGCCCCCTCCAGGGGATCTGCTAGCTGTGAGCTCTGCCCAGGTTTCCTTCCATCTCTGTGGCTCGAGAAATCCCTTTTCTACTCACCCAAGCCCTGACTTCATACCGAAATGTGGTTCAAAAGGTCACAGGGTGCAGGGTCCATCTGCAGAACGAAGTCCTGAGCTCCTCCCCAGATACATACATCACCCCCATCCCACGCTGCCTACAGGTACCTACTGGGTGGATCCAAACCTTGGCTGCTCGTCCGACACCATCGAAGTCTCCTGCAACTTCACACATGGTGGACAGACGTGTCTCAAGCCCATCACGGCCTCCAAGGTAGCCATCTGCTCCCCACCGTCCACCAGGTGGACCCTCTTTGCCCCCCCCCTGCCCTGGGCCACAACCAAGCCAGGTTCCGTTCTGAGCCCTGCCTGTCCTGCTGCATGGCTTTGGGAAAGTCATCTCTTTCCTAGACAGTTTCCTCATCTGTAAATTGGGGATGAGTTGGACTAATCCATGCCTTCCAAACCCCTTGGAGTTGTATGATGATGATGATTCATTCTTCAAATATAATCTTCTGCCTAATTTCTAAAGCAGAGCAGTTGGCCAAGCTGGCCTGGCTTGGAGAACCATGAATCACCCATGCAGTAAGTCAGCGGCACATTCATCTGGAACACGCTGCACAGAGTTTTGTATGCAAATATTGAACTAGTGTGCAATGCCCGCTGACCACGAGCTGTCTCTGGACTGAGCATTTTAGGTGACTCAGGGCAACTCTACAGCAAACCAAGGCAGGTGGCAGCAGTGGGGTGTGACCACTCCCCCTCCTAAGGTCCCTCTCAGTGGATTGTGGGTCTGCACTTCCACCAAGGCCTCCACATTTGGGGACGATTCATTCCACAATGAGAAGCTGCCCCAGCTGCAGGGGAGCTGTAGACCCAGAGCGCCCTGGATCTCATTCCGTCAGCTCCACCCCAGGGGAAGCTCCAAGAGGTGCCTTGTGCTGACCGTGTCAGACCCAGAGTTTGAGAATCTTGAAGCAAAGCAGTCTAGTAGCCAGCTGGTCAACAAGTCTCTGTCCCTAACATGGGCCAGGCCCCGAGCCAGCTGTGGAGAGGTCAGACTTGCCNGTCAACAAGTCTCTGTCCCTAACATGGGCCAGGCCCCGAGCCAGCTGTGGAGAGGTCAGACTTGCCACTGCCTCTGCAGCGAGAGCTCACAGCCCAGCAGGGACTCAGTGACCTCTTCAGGCCCTGTCCCCTGTGACTGGGAGGTTTTAGGGGCTGAGGGGTGAGGGCTGGAGTTGGTGCCTGGGCTGGCAGCATGACTGCCCATGAAGGTCATCAGCTCCACTCGGAGCAATGTCAGAATGAAACCCTGGATCTCTATGGGGCACCGCCAAAGCCATAAACACTGTCCTGTCATCTGTTCACAGGCCTGCCATTTTCGGCAGCACCCCACCCCACCCCCACCCCACAGGGATCTTGAGATGTAGTAAGGGGGTAGAAAGCATGTCTCGTTTCCTCCTCTCAATGAGCCTCTCAATCTTGAGCAAGATCTTCCTTTCTGTGCCTCTGGATCTCAGCTCAGGCCCAAAGACCGCTGTTTTAATTTAGGATCTTTAAGATGGGGAGCACCCCTTCAGTCGTTAGGAGTGACACAGATGGAAATAAGGAATTTGTTACTTACACGTCCTGGGGTGTGGGGGACATGGTTCACTGGGATGCCACACCCACGTAGGTCATGCCGCACAGGCAGAGAGGGGACCTGTGGGTGCATGCCTTTACTGGGCCCAGGGCATTATCTGAAGATTTCCCACAAAGAGTCTTAAGTGATGGGTTTGCAGCAAACAGGCAAACATGTACTTGAGAGGTGGGCACTGTGGCATATCTCTGCAGTTCACGTGGAGTGTGAGGGCCAGCAGGGCCAGTCCAGTAGACTGTATGGAGCTGTCCCTTAGAGAGATGGTCACGAGGGGGCAGCTGTATAAAGCTGTATCTGGATCAACCAACATGGAGGAACTGGGAGGAGGTGTAGAGCTGGAAACTGTGCATGCATGACTGAGCCTGCTTCTCAGATGAGAAAGTTCTTTTTTTTTAATTCTACAAATATTTTATTTTATTTTATTTTTTGAATTTATTTTATTTATTGAATCAAAATCGATTATACATATTTTTTTGGTTGAACACTGAGATATGTTGATTAAATCAATATTACTAGGATATATTGTTACAAATTGTAACTATTCTTTATGCCCCTTGTCCAATCTCGCCCCTTCCCCCATTCCCTCCCCCTCCCCCCTCT